GGAGGGGAGAAGTACTATTTGTCATCAATGTACCCTGGTGTTATCAAAATGGTAGCAACTCTTAATGCAAAATACATGAGACCTCAATCACTTGTTTCCCATTGCATATTAGGTATGAAAACATCACAACTGGGAAAATAAGAAATACAATAGCAATTTGTCCAGAGGACAACAATGCAGGAGCATCTGAGGCTCCTGAATTCAAAATCCTGTTTTCCCAAAAGCCTTTTGTTGTTAAGGTGTCATATACCTTTCTATGACAACTCAGTTTCAGTATAGTTGGAGAGCATGTAAAATCCAAAAGTTAGATACACATTTTTCATTAGTCTTTCCTGCAAAACAGACTTAAAGTAGGTGTACATGAGGCACTAGAGCACTTATTCGAGAAATTCCACTTGAGAGCATAAGCTTACTGAAAAATAACCTTTCATATATTAAACAACTTTAGAGAGCATTATTCATGAAACTGAAGCTTAAAGCAATGACTTCACATAGAAAAAGAGCCAGAGTTCATTTTGCTTGTTTTCCTAATTTGACTATCCATTTCTCCATGCAAGAAGCAATATTTTTCATCTACTCAGTATGGAAAAAATCCTGTACTGTATTTGGTCTGCTTCCAGGAGTTTTGAAACGCACATGTATTACTGAAAATTGAGCCATTACCATTCTGCATTACCTGATTTCTTCCTGACATTTTCATATGACTTGTTTAAGTGACTAACTCCAAGCCCAGTAGGTTTCAGTACATGAACAAAAGGGAGGAATGAAGACCATTCACAGAAAGTTTGTACAATCTCAGCATCCATCTCCACTGCATATTTCCAGAACTCACCTGACTGCACACGGAAAGGGCCTCTGTAGGTAAGAGTTAGAAACCCCTCACCAGACAGATACAGGGTTTTGTCCAATTCCACCAGCCTCACCGATGTCAGATTTTCTGCTTCACATCCAGCAGCTGTTTTGCCATTAATTTTACCACAATCTGGCATGGGTCCACAAATGTTTAGCTAGAAGTTTTGAAAACATGTGGGTATACACAGTATTAACTACATCAGAAAAATTAGGTCCACATAGCCATTTCTACATCAGTAAAACTCTCCTGTCAAGAACTATTTCAAACAGGATGAAATGTCTGTCATTTCTAGACTGCAACACAAGCAACTATAATACAGGAACAATATCCTCAATCTTCAACTTAGAGGGTCTACAAATTCTCCCCACTAGAAGTACAAAATGTGGTTTAGCAAGTTTAGTCTTAAGACTAAAAAGCACTATAGTAGTATCTGTGGACAGCCTAGGACTACTGATACATACAGATTGCATTAAGAACACCGATATGGACACATTAAATCCCTTTCTACGCTTCATCTGTCCATTTCTTCAGCACCAGCAGATAAACTGGTATTACGCAACAGAGTCCATAACTGGAAAACCATGCATAGCCTCGAAAGTGTGGCTACCTTATGTTTGCTAAGAACAGGAGGTTCGATGCCTTTAAGACCATCTGAGATGAATCAAGTTATCTTCCATTCCTCCCCTCAAGCACAGTACTCTCCTGCCAACTCAAATTTCATAAGAGGACAGAGTCAAAACTCCGCTTGCTCACTAAACAAGACTGGAAAAATGCAACAACAGCATCCATAAGCAACAGATTGTGCAGTCAGAATCCTTACCAAGAACTTCTTCCCAATGCCAGTAGCCATATAGCCTTTTCTAGAAGCTAATGGCTGCAGATTGAACAGAAAGCCAGTGTTTGGATCTCGCACAGAGCAGGACTGAAAAAAAAACAAAAAACAGCAGCATTATTTTCTCCTTTTGCATTTCTTCTGTTTAAGTTTTGGGTTTTCATTTGTTTGAAAAGCCAAAGTAGTGATTTACACATATTGCTAGCCTGCACACCAATCAGCTACTTAATTAGGATAACCAGAATACAGCTCTGGCAGTAGCAACACTTCATTAAATTCTTTTGCACAGTTGTCCATTGACATCAGCCACATACCAACATATCAAAGTGCAATTTAACAGATGACATCCATCAGGTTATCTAAGAGCAAGGAAATTTTAACTGAGGGTTGTTTTCACACCAATGTGTTTATGTTGAGACCTGTATAGTAGAAGCAACTGAGTAGCTCAGTATGGGAAAAAAAAAAGCCTTATTTGATGATCTGTACACAAACAAGGACAATACATATAAACTCAGTTTTACTAGCAACCTTGTAAGGAAATGAAACATTCAGTGCCACAGCAAGCTGTTCTGAAAAGAGCACGTGAATACTTTGGTCAGAAGTTACGCATTTCAGAAACACTTCAAGAAGAAAGCAGTAAGGTATCACAAGACTCCATCATGATCAACTTCAGACGTCACTTTCTCCAAGAGTCATTTAAACACAGAACCAGGAGTGCTAGGAAAAAAAACCCAAAAACCAGTATGTTGAGACTATGAATACAGTTAGGTCCCCTCCTTTCTCACCTGAGAATCATCTTTTGTTTCCTTGATTGGACAAGCAGCTTCAGTTTCCCATAAGAATGTGGCCACACATTCCTGAATAGCTATAAACCGTGGGCTGCTACTCTGGAAACAGATTGCAGAGAGAAGACCAAAATAAGTGTAACAGCCAACACCTTCTCATATTTGAGATTCCACTTTATGAGAAACTGTCAGGTTCTTCTAAAAGACTACACTACAAATGCACACAATTCCCACCCTGCTACCCTCTCCCCTATTTATTTTGAAGATCACCACTGAAAACTTTTGTCTAGCTAAACACTTAGCATGTCATTAAGCTTTAGCAAAGAACTGAATCTGATACCCAAATACTCAGATTAAATTTAATACTAAATCTAGACATACATAACTAGACCTTGCCTCAGTCTAAGCTTTAAGGAATTTTGGGGTATAATGCATCATCCACTATAAAAAAAAAAAGTAAAAATCAAGCAATGCAAAATTGTGTTAACTGAGGTAACAAGGTTACAGAAGTATTAATTATACACACTTCATTTCAGTGTTTTCAGGCAAAAGCAGAGCCGTTCATAACTGCTCCAAGTCACAGATTTTCACCATACCTCTTGGCTGAAGATCATGTGAGTGAGGAGAGTAAGACCTGCAGATTCACAAACCAGCAACAAGCGTAGGCAAGCTTCAGTCTAACAATCCCCTCAGTCTTCAGTACGTGAAGTTGTATCAGCAAAAGCTTTATAGATTTAAGAACTCCTCTGGAATCAACAAGCTACAGCGGATGCAGAACCTAAGCCTGAAGATACACTTTGCAATATTTTTCCTCTTAAGAGGGTCTGCAGTGTTCACATGTGTGACTCCTCAGTCTTAAGTCCCCATGTATTTTCCATGCTAATTAGTCTGAAATATCACTGTTGACTGAGGCTGTTAGTTTTAACTAGTTCTTGCTTACGATAAAATACTCAGTCTGAGACACACACTTCTCTAGCGTCTGTCAGCTTTGTTTTTACATCTTTAAGTCCTCAAGAAGTCTCCCTTGTCATGAATCTGCTTTACACTATACATCTTCATGTGTTTCACATTATACAACAGAAACCTACTATGATGAAGTAACAAATATTATGAAATATTATTTGTCCTTACAAGAGTACCCCTGGAACAGATGAAGTGGATGGTGGTGGTGTAAGTAGTTTTCTTTCCATCAGCATCGATGCACACTGAGCCATTTGCATAGGTTAGAAAAATGTGTCCAAGTCTTTCAACTACTAGTTCTTTGCTGGCAACACCAAGATTACTAATAGAGGTGACTTCAGAGTAAGAAACCTAGAAATAAAGATAAGCGTGTCAGCAATTCTAAACTCAAGTGAGGAATTACAGATACAGTCAAAAAGAAGAAAATAACCTCCTATATATAAGATTGTGTACCTTGTGAGTTTTGAAGATAACAACAGTGTAGAGATCCCCCTGCATTTCTCCCCTATTTCTGTACTTAAGTTTCACATGTTTAACAGACAAGGTCCACAAGCAGGCATTGTTTGGTTTTTTGTTGTTTTTATTTTTAGTACAATAAGGTACCTATAGTGCCTTGCAACAGCCATCCTCATCTCACCAGCTACACAGCTTAGAAATTTAGGGAGGCCTATGCCTCATGTGCAGTAAGTAGGATTTAATTTGTACAGCTCTTTAAAACATGCAGAAACCTCCAGGTATTCTTAGAATTGGCCTTAGGGATCTGCACGTTTAGCAAAGCCTAAAAAGCACTAGCGGAAACTGAGCATTAGAACAACAGTAGGTGCTACTATCAAGGCCCAAATCAATCTTCACTTCTGCAGGATAACTGGTATTTCCTATTTTTAAGAAACTACTTTAAGTTAGCAACAGCAACAAACAGAAGAATACACCTCCAAGGCAGCTCTGTCCAAAGACATTTGCTTTTGTTTGTTTGTTTTTGGGGGTTTTTTTTGGTTGGTTGTTTTTGGTTTTTTGTTGGTTGGGAGGGGTGCTTGTTGTTTTGTTGTTTTTGTGGGTTTTTTTTAACAACTCTGCATTTAGGTTGACTCAATGTGCTTGCTTTTTACTCCCATGTCTTCAGCAATGAAGTAATGAAGCCCTAATGTGTTTTCACATTTACCCAATAAGGACTAATGCCAAGCACAGAGAACTAGTAATATTTAGCTCAAGTGCCATGATGGTCACGTACAGATTTAGTCACTAGGACTTCAACAGTGTGGAGAGGAAGATGTTCTCTTTGTTTTATAGGAGGAATTAGGACAGGTTGGTGGGCTTCTAGTTCAACTTTCCAAAAAACTTTGAGTACCACTGAAACCAAGCCTTAGGCAAAGTGTCCATCCAGCCTGTCAGCACATTCCCATGACAAATTGTTATACTTCAGGGAAATATAGAAGTACAAGTCCATAACCACCACACCTTTTTTTTTTTTTTTTTTTTTTTTTTTCTTTTTTTTTTTGCTTGGCAACATCTGCCTAATCTACTCCTCAAATCCAAAGAGGGCGGTGACAAAGAATCTTTAAACACATTTCTTCCACAGTTCAATTTAAAACAAGCCAGAAGCAAGACAGAATATGCAGAAGAGCAGCCTGTTCCTAAAGCAATGTTAGAGTCTCTGAGACCGCAGCAGTTTACACAGAAGAGATGCAGTTTTTCTGCCTCTGCAACACAGGACAAAGAATGATGCACATCAAACACAACATTGGTACACTTGTGAAAATTAAAGCTTTGGTCTTTGAAGAGGTGGACAGGAGGTCTACCATTCTGCAACGATTAAGCCAACATTATGGATACACAGAATACCATTTTGCATAAGGAAGCCATAATTCATGTGCCTATCTTGCATACTCCTTAATCTCACTCACTTGGCAAACCAGCTCTGAGCTAGGATGGAAAGGCTACTCACGTGATCATGTCGATATTCCATCTGACAGACAGAAGCTCGCCGGTCACATCCTGGGACAGCAATCAGTGGTCGACAGACATTTATGTAGTACTTCTTACGTTCACTTGGCCTTGAATTATCCATGGCATACCAGTTTTCACCTCTCTTCTCAGATTTTGCTAAGCTAAGCAGGAAAAGAAAGTTCTACTCTATAGAACACACATTCTTCATAAATTCTCTCTAGCTTTCTCTGTCAGTCTCAAGAAACAGTGCAACCATAAGGCATTTCAGAACAACTTTTTCCCCTCATTTTTAAGCGTTACAGTTAAAAAGAATACTCTAGGAAATAGAGCACAGTTGGCAAAGTAATAGGTTTTTGTTAAGCAAAGCCAGCCCAAAAAGTCAACTTATGTCATAGGAGGCAAGACAATGTATGAGGGGGAAATACTGTCTTCATTTCAAGATACTTGCAGTTAAGGTTGTCACAACAGATGATGTTTCTAGTGTTGTCTACACAGGAAACCAACTTAATCTAGTGCTAAGCTATAAACCAGAACTCTAAACTAGAACAGCCAAGTTGTGTTGTGTATTTTACTTTCTTACCTTGACAAGTCATATTGGTCCATGGTGTTGTGATCAGTCACAACACATTCCAGCGGCACTTCAGGACAAGCATACTCAGTGTACCACCTGAAGTTGTAGGTATAGTTATCTTCCATCTAAGAAACAACAGAATAGGTCAGTGATTCTTTCCACACAAGAATACGTTGTGACTCGCAGCTACTCCCCTAAACGTTAAGCTTGTTATTTCCCCTGGGTTTTGGGATATACCTTCTCAGATTGATTTGTGTAGGTCCATTTTGTTATAGATCTTGCCATTCGCTGTGTCACCAAAAATAATAGAACCAGAGCAAGTAGAGCAATGTAAATGCTGTCTGCTGTGTTATAGGACACACAGCCCTACCACTTGTTACTTCTCAGCCAGCTTGGTTTTTTTCAGCTACAAATACATGATCAAAAGCACTAGTGACTACATGTCCCAGAGACTAGAGAAGAGTGAAGTAAGAACCTGGATCCAGGTGAACAGCTTACTGTTCAGTGGTCAAGACAAGCAACAAGAAGCAGATATACCAAAAGAAATAACTACTTCTCTTAGTCTGCTTTATAGATACTGGGAATTTCTGTCCACGAATCTCTGCTTACACTTGCCTAGCAGCAGCTATTGTCAGGATGTGGGGATGGAGATCCTTCCCTCTTCATATAGAACTTTTTACCTGATATTCAGGCTGACCTATTCCAGCCTGACGGTCACACAGGAAAGTTATAAGGGTAGATCGCCGTGTTTTCTTCTCATCATTGTATGCTGTACCATTTTTGTAGGTCAACTGAATCAGACCATCGTAATATGAAAGTTTGGAACTGGGCAGTCCAAGACTCCAAAACTGATCCTTACTAGAAAAGAAAAAGTGGGCTTTGAGACTGAACAGAATGCAAAATTAATTCTGTCTTTAAGAGAAGCCTTACAAGTAGTAAGCACACAGGTAAATTTATAGAAGACACCATAATAAAACAAAAGAATTAAGTAAGGTTGACTAAACATAAGAATAGAATGCTGCCAAAAGGAAACCTAAAACATGAACACATGTCCTTCTTTGGAAAGGAAAGGAAGTTGTACCTTGCTTAACATCTAGAAAACTTTAATGCTCCCTTCTCTAAAAGTGTGGCAGAAATATCAAGTTCCCATTCTCCAGAGTAGAACTCAAACTGCTGACACCCTAATGCTGGGCTCAAACTGGTTCCATGCAAATACATGTGGACAGTGAAGACCTGGCACTGCATAACAGCTAATCTTCTCACTCAGGGGAGATGACTGCCTTCACATGCTCTTAGCTCAGGACCAGCTTCAGTTCAGGAGGGTTTCTTTACTCCGACTTAACACCAGCTCTATCAGACCTAGTCTGACCACCTTTCCCTGAAGAACATTTTTAGTGTCTGCAGTGAAGTCTCCTTGTCTGGAGAGCAGCTCAGAGTCAACTCAAGTACAGCTGCATGTGTTTGCACTGTATCACATCTCTGGCAACAGGCTGACCTGGAACCTGAAGTGTACTGATATTATCTCAGTCATAGCTTGTAGAAGACAACAGCAACAAAGCTGTCAGAGTAGCAGTATACACTGGGACTGTGCCTGCTCAGCACTTTTAGTAATGCAAATACAGTGCAATACCCAAGCTCTGGGCTCCACCTCTGCATAAGGCAGCCACTACTCACACCTAGCACAGCAGTGCTTCTTTAGGCCAGATCTTGGAATTCAGCTGGCCCTGAATCTGAATTGTAGGTTGGCTTAATACAGCTGCGGCAGTTAATCTAAAGCTTACAGTCCCTATGGGAAGCATAAGGGGGAGCAATGGACACACTCATTCAGTCTCAAAAGCTATCTGTAAGCAAGATTACATGTGTGTGCACTTTGCTTGAAACAGCTGGCAGCATAATTACTGTACTACAAAACAATGTTTTACATGCAAATTACCTGAATCTATTACAGGCAGGACAGTAATTATTTTACATGCAAATTGTTCGCTGTTGCACAGAGACACATGCAACAAGAGATCTTCTATTACAGACAACAGAACTAGAGTTACCCACCTTTGTGTTACTTGGCATGCTGCTGATTTTGTGTGACACAACTCATCTGGCATACTGCCACAGATGTTTATGTAAAACAAGTATTCCGTAGTATTAACTATATAGTGCCCATTTTTCTTGGCCAGAGGTGATAAATCAAAAGAGAAGCCTAATTGGGAAGAAACAAGCTTTATCAGTTCAATTTTTTCCTGTGATCTCTCATAGTCACACAGCTAGTTCCCCCCACCTCAAGTAAGTGTCCTTCCGTGTAATTATTGTTCCAGAAACAATGTGGACATGCTAAAAGCATGTTTTCTTATACAGAGAGATTTACTATGATAAAATACACATTACACCTATTTTCCTCCACACACACTAGGGGAATATTAAGCTCACGCTGTTCTGATCTTCCATACACATGTGCTTAAAACTGCTATGCTCAAATATTGTGGGTGCTCAGAATTAGGCTGAACTCTCTCTGCTGTTGCACATCAAAAGGACTCAGCGTTGTGACACAAGTTCTATCCCTCATGACCTTTCAATTTGCTGAACATAAATACGTACCTGCCTGAGGATCAGAGACTTGACAGTTATCTCCTTCAGTTTTAGACAGCACACACGCAGCAGCAGTATACCAATCAAATGCGTATGAACATTCACCCTCAGACATCAAGATTGGAGCACTTTCTAGATCACCTGGTATCACAAGAGCAATGTGTTATACATACAGACAATCAGGCTGCCAAAAGGAACTATGAATTTAAGGTTAGGAACTAAGCCCTCCCCAACAGCAGACTAACATTAACTGTTAAGGTACCTCTCCTCTGATAATGAGGACTAAATAGAACCAAAAAATCCTTGCACAAATTCTTTGCACTCTCATCCCCAGAATAAAAGTTTAGTCCAGAGGTAAAGACGCACTGCTCAGTCTGTTCCTGAGTACCATCACACTCTTTGAAAAAATGTTTGCTTTGATACACAAACCTGGTGTTTTGCTACAAAGCAACAGCTTTATTAGGAACTCGTGCATAACCTGATCCCAACAGCCAGCACACTTGGAGGATTCAGCTTCCTCAGGCTGCAGTAGAGGAATACAGGTTTTCTATTTCCTTGGGAGATGGTTAAACTAGTGGGCAAATGCTTCTGCTTTTCGTAAACTGCAAGCAGTTTAGACATAAAACTATTTATTGGAAAAGAAGGTTAAAGTATCTGATCTCAGTTCAGAACCAGTCTTCTCATCAAGACAATCTAGGGATAAAACGTGCTTTGTAGAGCTTCCAGGTATTTGTGGGGCTTTAAACAGTTAAACATACTTTCATCATGTTTGTGAGAATCTTAGTTCAAGAGACTTACTCAAGGGTCTTTAAAAAGTACTTGTATAAAAGGTGAACAGAGCTAAATACCTGCAATTACATTTGCTATCATCCTAGTAAACAAACCACAGTTCTTCAGCTTTGGTAATGGTACATGCTAATATTTAGCACTCACATCTGGGCATATTAAAAGACCTCCAGTTTTTAACTGGGTCAAAGAACAGGGTGTGAATATTCTCACCTGGTCTGCACACTAGAGTGATGACAGTTTTGATTTTTTTGTTAACACCACAGCTGTCTCCATTTGAGTAGATAAGTTGAATATTTTCTCCAACCTTTTTAGGAGAAGACACAAATGTTCCAAGATTCTTACTCTTGTTTTGTTTATCTGCAAAGACAGTAAGTACATGACTTCTTTCCAGGGAAAGAAAAGTGAAGTTTACACTATTAAGAGAATATTAATTAGGTAAATGGAAAGTCTTAAGAAAGCATATGATTAGAGTTTGCTTTTAACCTCACCAAAACCATGCTACAAAGCTTGGAGGAGAGTATAATACCATTCTTTAGTTAGAAAAGGCTACTTGCATCATTTCTTCTAGGGTCTTTGGAAGCATAAGAGAAACATGCTCCTAACGTCTGTTTCCTCAAATAACTGAAGGCACTCAGGGCAGCCAATTCCATTTGCAGAGGAAGTGCCAAGCCTTCAGAGCCTTAAAAAAGAAAAAAAAAAAAAACAACAAAAAAAATCCCACAAAACCAATCCAAAAAGACTCACCTACAGAGCAAATAGCAGCAGCATCTGGGCAGCTGGAAGCTCCTCCTCTCTTCAGTACTTTATGGCAGACATTGATGTAATAACACTTCCTCCCTATCTCTGAAAAGGTACTGTCCACGGCCTCCCAGTTCTGGGCTAAGCCTGAAATACAGGGGATCATTAAGAAAAAGTCATCTGGCTTAATTGTTCTAGCCTCTCCAAGCCAAAATGCCTTTATCACAAAAAACCCCCAAACAAACAAATTTAAAACCTTAAGATGACAGCAACCAAGGCAGTAGTGGATACGGCTACTTTCATAAGGCACTCAGTCCCTTCGGGATGAGGGAAGTGAATGCCAGTACCCCAGAAACTCATTAAGAAAAGCAAAAGCTGATTAATGTTCAGCTACAGAATTGCACTAGAGATGTCATGTAAACTCAAGACAAAAGTAACTGAAAACTAGTTTTCATTGCCATACCTGAACTGCGGATCAGAGGTGACAAGTCATAGTGTTTTCTCTTATCAGCAACTCTGCAAAGGAGATCTTCTTTCTCTTTAACACATGCGTATTTTGTATCCCAAGTAAAAAAGTATGTGCAGTCCACTTCACCAGTAAACACTGGAGTTCCTCTACCATCATTACCTTAACATTGAAGATAGATAAACACATATTAGGTTTCCAGTAGGGGAAGGGAAGAAAAGCAAGGAGACTTGGGAACTAGCAATGAGCAAGAAAGATAAAAATCCTTTTGCTGCACAGGACTTGCATTTGTGGTTTGGCTTTTTTGTCCTTTTTTTTTTTTTACTGTTGCCTAAGAAACAAGGTTCTTTTACACCTCAATATTTTTGATCATCAGTGTAAATTTAGAATAGCAAGTGCTACTACACAGCACAAAACAATCCTGCCAGCCACAGAAATTAGTGCTTACTCTAGCAATATTTACTCCTTGTGTTAGCTGTGGGTCAAAGCATGCACCTATTTGAACATAAGTAGTAGAAGACTTCTTCTTGAACAGAAGTCAAACCCTGAGCAGGGTCATCACAGCTTGTTAAACTCACCTGCTGTTTCATTGCACTCAAAGTTTATGACAGTCATTCTCTGAAAGCCAGAACTACAGGCATCTCCATTCGGATAAATTAAAGTGAGATCCCCATCAGAATATCTGAGTAAAAAATAAAGTTTTAGGTAGAAACATGGGATCAGACACAATCACACAGTGTTCTTCACATAACAGAAGCCACACTCTTGTTTGTTTAATTATTTTCTCGCTCAAAGGGAAAACAAATGCTTTGTTCAACACTCATATTGACATTTCTATTGCAACAAAGGCTTGCATCTGCTGATTTTTCTGGTTACTTTTCATGAATTTGTATAACGTTTAAAGAATGCTTTAAAGCTATTCCAGCTTTGAATAGAACAGAATATGTGTGCTTTCAGTTAGAATAGACTATTTCAGTTCGAAGGGACCTACAATGATCATCTAGTCCAACTGCCTGACCAGTTCAGGGCTGACCAAGTTAAAGCATGTTATTAAGGGCATTGTCTAAATAACACTGACAGGCTTGGGGCATCAACCACATCTCTAAGAAGCCTGTTCCAGAGTCTGACCACCCTCTCAGTAAAGAAATGCTTCCTCATATCCAGTCTAAGCCTCCCCTTGACGCAGTTTTGAACCATTCCCACACATCCTATCACTGGATACCAGGGAGAAGAGACCAGTACCTCCCTCTCCACTTCCCCTCCTCAGGAAGCTGTAGAGAGCAATGTCACCCCTCAGCTTCCTTTTCTCTGAATGTGGAATGTCTTTTCACATTAGTTTACTGCATGGCTATTTTTGCAGGTGGGAGAAGTCATACTTCCTGGAAATCCTCTCCAGCAAGTCTGTCACATTCTTACAGATAGAATGGGAGCCTATATCTAGGTGAATAAATAATCTCTGCTTTCAATCTCATGCAAACTATTGTCCCAGTATGCCACTTAGGAATCCTGAAGTTCTTTAGAAAGAAAAAAAAAAAAAAAAAAAAAAAATCACAAAATCCTGGACTTGGATATGATTAATGCATGCTCTTGCAAAGGAAGTAGAAACGCCTTCCTGTTGAGGACAGCTTCTGAAACATCCAATCCTGATGCCCCTTTACATGAAAAACTCAAGGAGGGCAAGAGGCAATACAGCTCAATCTGCAATTCTGACACCAAAGTTGATGAAAGTTTCTTCCCTGTCTAGGCAATGGCCTCTAGCAACCCCATCTGCTCCTTCATTTGCTAATGATATCCTGGTCTACTGTTAGTGTTTTTCTATACAAAACTGAGCAAAAATACTTGCATTTTGTGTCAAATATTGCTTATATGGCAAATAAAGGCAACTAATTAGGAAACAAAGATCAGTCATTCAGACAAGGTAACAGGGCTAAAGAGCTTTTACACACCTTAGGGTTTGGTTCTCAAATCTTCCTGCCACTTTTTGCTGGTTATTTGAAGATTTTACTTGGCAAGATGAAGTGTATCCTGTGCTGTCCTTGCAGTTACCTGCAGCAGTTTTTCCACATATATTCAAGTAATAGTAATACTCCTCTTTGTCATCTTTGGCTAAATACGGTGTGACATAATCTGAATGAATAAGAAAAAGAGAAGAGTTCTAAAACACAGCAGAACAGATGTCCTCTATAGATATTTGGGTTTACATTTTTCCTGTCTCCAAACATGAAACTGGAAAACTGACTAGTGGCACCACAATGAGCTTACCTGGAAGTTGAGTAAGTGGTCTTAAATCAATGGAGATATCATGTTGCTCATTAGTCAGAAGACAACTCCTACTCTCCAGGTAATCCCTGTGACAGGCATACTCAGTAACCCACTCAACTTCATACCGGCAATTTGTTTTTGCTGTGAGTTTGGGACCTGCACTCTGATACAGAAGTGAACAGAATTTAAATTGCAAGTACTTATTTGAAATATAATCTTTAAAGCAACAGTACCACATTCATTTAGAGTCAGTAATGACCAGTTTCACCTGTAAATTGCTTAACAGCTGCAAACATTGTCTCTGGTCTCTCAGAAATAGGTGTTGAGAAGAAAGTTATTAACGGTGTGGCAAACTAGAAGTCTAAACAGAGGTAAAGTATCAGGTATTAGCAGAAACTTAGCAGCAGTAACGGTACATTAAAAAGCACTTCTCCTTAATATGTTGGCAAAAGCAGAGATACACAAGTCCACATTGCTAAGAACAGCTTGGATTGTGTTTGCCTCAGAGGAGTTCTCAGAAGGGAGCAGAGATTAATTATTCTCCAAAGGCAAAGCAGCCTCTTAGACACTGGTGTTTGAGCAACTTTGATTCCCTCAGTCCAAATCAAGACTGAAAGATATTTGAGAATTCTTTAGCCAACACTTTAGCCAACTTTTGTGAGATGCCATTTTCTGTAGTTGAATATTTTTGCATCTCTGGGAGAAGAGGTAGTCTTGTGTTTCCTCACTTTTAAAGTGAAACATTTAGAGGCTCACCTTGTTTCATAAATCTGTATTTCTGCCACCTACTAGAACAACAGGCAGATACACTGGTAAAATATCAGAGAAGTTATCAGCACAAGTAACATTAGCAATGCTATTCATGCTACATGTGTGCGTAGCTGCAGTGAGGTATTACGAAGTGACAGCAGAGGAAGGCCTATGGTTTGTTTCTGCAGCAATGAGGATGAAGTACGGTACCTAGCTAGGTCAGATGAGAAACAAAACATTAAACCTAAAGTTAGCCAGACAAGCGTTCCTCCTTCACTAACCTGCAACCAAAAGCATCATGATATGAAATGGCAGAGCATTAGCAATAGCCACTCTGGCCCGATTTAAGGAGTGTGGGTGGTTGAGATTACCTGGCATCACAAAGTGACCATCATACCGCATTGAAGCTAGGCTAAAGCTGTGTCCTGCAAAAACTGAGCTGCTGCTTAACACTACAGATTTATACCTTAAGGTAATAGGAGTTCATAAGCCTGTGTAGTAAATGACAGACTTCTGCCATGCAATGACCCTTGCTATCTTTTTTTTTTTCACTGAGGAAGGCCAGATTAATAAAGAAACAAGTTACAGACAACTTTTGTAAGCATACCCACACTGACTGATGACACAAGAGTGCTCGTCAGCAAACAGAGCTCTGGGCCAAGAATTAACACTGTACTAACTCTGTCCTATTCTCATAGGAAAGCTTTGAGCCCAGAAAAGGGCAACCAAATTCACCAAAACAAGAACAAACACACCCCTGGGAAAATTTTAGTCAAGTTCTTGTTTCTCTCTTACGCTCTTCAAAAAGCCTTTTAAAATTTTTTTAGACTCCTACACTCTTCATAAGCTGCAAACCAGAAGGATTTCTGTTCCCTTCAGCCTTCAATAAAAATGAAAGATAATGCAAATGAAAGTTAAAGACCAACCATATAACATGAACTAAAACAGCAAAGTTACCTCTTCTCCCCTCCTTGATGGGCACACAAAAGTGATCGTCACTGCTGGGTTATGGCCTAGGCAGAAGTCTGGCTTTTCTTCATCACTGTATATCCTCTCATAACTCAATACCAGCCTAGTAGCAGAAAATGGTAAACCAAAAATACAATTAAGACACTGTACAGAAGAAGGACATCTTTGAAAGAACATCCACCCTTTGCTAGATACCCAGGCAGGATATACCAAAGTAGCCGTGCTCCTGAAAGATACTTTTACGGACATCTTTATTCCTTCAATCTTACAGTTAATCAAAAGAAAGATTCAGACAGTCCCAGCAAAATTACTTAATACAGCATCCTCTTGCATCCCAGTTAATACTATGCTCATTGCCTTGTAACCTGTATTGTAGCAGGAACTTGGCTGATAGTCATAAGAACACTCTAGCTTTGCTCTCAAACTGCTGGAAAGCAGATGTGATAAACACTCTTGTAACTTTTGGAAGTAATAATCACTGATGTTTTACCACATCCCTATACTTTACCACCTCTGTATGTATAATCTCTTTCCTTTCTGCCCCCAGAATTAAAAGCAAGATGAACTCATTACCAAATTGACAGAAGCAAGGCAACTGGGACAGATCAGACAAGGCTGGAATAGGAGAATGAAACATGGTACCTAACTGACAAGGAGAGACAAATGGCAAGATGACTTGGATGAGAAAACAAGGAGACCAACACAGTTTCCCAGCTAAACATCACTGTTCTATACAATCCAACAGGCAGAAGACAACAGCTCGTGGAGGGGTGACAACCTGGCTTCAGGTTAGCCACACCTCTAACTGACCTCTCTATACCTTAGGACACAGATATACAATCATCTTACACTCTTCCCAGGCCACCCTAGTCTGATTGAGCACATACAATGAATTCTTCTCAAACAATGAAGGGTTCTTCAATCCTAATAGGGATAAGACAAAACGTTCTCACCAAGCACTTCTTATAGAGTACTAGTTGCACTTTAATATGAGAACAAGCTTGTGCTTCCTCAGATGTAAGCTTCTGCCTTCATACAGAACACTTCAGCCACTTCTTTCATGCTGGGGGAAAAGCCTTGCAACAAAGGACAAACTAAAAGCAAGCCCATAACCCTGTCACTGAAATAACCCTGTTATTAACCTCATTTATTCTGCTTGTCTTCTTCAGCTTGCATCTGGGATAAAGCATACTGCAGAAGTCAACAGGGTACTACTAACCCTACAGAGAAGGTAAGCAGGCTCAGATGACCTGAAGCTCAGAAAGATCAGCATGTTAAGTAAGTCCCCTGCGCCACACTGGGCTCTTTGGGTGGTTTTTTGGTGGTTTTTTTTTCTGTTACTGTTTTGGGGGTTTTTTTGGTTAGTTGGTGGTTGTTTTGTTTTTTTTTCTTTCAAGCTACACTTCCAGCACAAAAGGCAGCAAACAGGATAAAAGCAGCATCAAGGAAACAGTTTCTCCTAGTCCCACCTCTGTTACCACCAGGAACAATAAGCCTTGCATTGCTTATCTATTTTTTCTATTAAGAACTCATTAATGCAAAAATACAGAAGGGCAGCATCCATCAACTTTTAAAGTACTCCAGGGCAGTAAAGCGAGCCAAACACGGTGTGTAAATGCACAGAAAGCCAAGTGCATTTACCCTGTGGACCCTCAGATGGTAGGCAGGTGGGGTCAAATCTCACTCTTCTACTTGTGGGCAGAAAGCAGCAATCATTCCTCGCTTCTGAGAGTTTTGCAATTTTGTAAAAAGGAGTCTCTCACAATGAAGAAGAAAATTTGATCTGTTATGGCAGTACAACGGGATGCCTGAAAAAGACTCTGCCCTGCCAGTATTTGAAGAAATTGTTCCTGCCAATGCTTCAAAACTGAAGTGGTATTGATGTTAAGTTTTAGAAGATTCATCTGTTACCAAGACTGCTTTCTCCAGCCCAGATGACTGAGAAGTGTTCACAGAAGTGTCACCACAAAAATTACATACCTGTCTTTGTCATGAAGTTTCAGCTGTTCCTGTGGATGGCCAACGTCATACACCTGACCTTCATGCCACAAGCAAGCAGCACTGCCAGCAGGGCAGTTTCTGGTCTCTCCACTTGAACTTCCTGTTACAGAATATAGAAAGCAGAATATAGGACTCAGTTTCTAAGCTCCACTCCACCTGAAGTATCCTGCCATTTTACCTGTAGGCTCACTTACCATTTATTGCTTTACTCTTTTCTAAAAATACCTTTAGAACAGGTTACATTAAAATGTGAAACCGGGAAGGCAAAACCTGAAATACTTGTGATATACTTCCTGATGAAGTAGCTGCAGCTAGTTTCCAGTTGCTACTACAGCTGCTGCATGCATAGGGCTTCAAGAACTTCTAGAAGTGTGCCAAGTATTTATTTTTCCTGTAACACCAAAATGATACCAAGTAATGGCTAACCCCTCCTCACAGGGAAGGTTTTTTTCCCCCTCCTTTATTTCTTATAAACCAACTTATTCAAAGATGTCAGCAAAAAGTTTCAAACTAATAGGATTTTTAAAAGAATAGACCTGCCACTAAAACTAAAGAATTAAACCCTTAACAGGGGCACAAAATACAGATTTTACTGCAGAGTAAAAAACACAGTGGGAGTATAGAGCTAAACTAGCCTTTTCATCAAGTTTCAAATGAGTGATTTTGCTGGTTTATTTCTTTACATATATAGCTTCCAACTGACATGCAAGTGCTAGCTATGCACCATTACTTACCCAAGCACCCAAACATTATTTCAGATGTATCTCAGGACATTCACTTGAAACTACACAACAGCCTGAACTGCAGCCCAAAGCAATAAATTTAGAGCACATGAAGTGCTATGAACCATCTCAGTCCTATGTAGCAAACAGAAACAGCTACAAGACAAGCTGAGCTCTTGCACTCAGGTCAGTTTAAGTCAACTTTTCTAACAGTACTTGCCCATCCAGAAGGAGCCATATCTCTGGACACCTCAGTAGCTGGAGAGTAAGACTTGGCTTCACAGAATGCAGCCTTCAAATCAGCAAAAGGAGCTTGAAACAATAGTGCAAGTCTTAAAACACTGATCTTTGGTCATAGGACAACTTCAACTGAGGCACTGGAAAAGAGCCACACTACTAGAAATTTATACACTGACAGGTGATACAAGCAAGTGTTCGCACCTAAGTCCCTGCAGACGTTTATGAACAAGGAATCATCATCAGAATCATCCACCAAGTAGTGTCCTGAAACTTGGATGAGAGGATTCAAGTCATGTTTCTTCAAATCTTCATCAAACACATAGCAAGGGACCTAGAACAACAACAAAAAATTACATACAATCTATGCTACACAAGTAGGAAGAAGTTATGAGCAGACATATATAAAGCTAAGTTAATGAGTGGAAAAAGTTTTTACTTCTAGAAGCTCAAATACTTAAAGCTAGACATGCTGACTAAAGTGAGGCATCCAAAGTTAGATTGTTCTGCTTTAGCTTTTAGAAGAGTTTTACTATAAACAACCATCCAGATGACAAAAAAGGTTGAAGAGTTATTTAAAATTCTCAGCTCCACCCAATTCTAATAGGTGCTTTATATGCCTATGAAAAAGTTAGGTCTATGGAGGTTGTTGGGATTTGTTTAGCGTGGGGGCAGGTGGTTACAGCAAAATTGCCAGATGTGTGAAGAATAACTTCTGCATGGATGGTACATAGATTACCTCTTTCACAGGTTTAAACAAGTCTTTCTTGCAAGCCACAAAGGTTCTCCATTCAAAATAGTGCACACACTCTGTTGCTGTTACAAACTCAGGGGTACCCTAAAGGAGAAAAAAATAATTCTTTGAAAAACAGACTTCAGTTTTATTTTACATCTGTAGACAGCAAGAATTTCATTCAAAAGAAAAACAGAACAGAGCATGTCACAGAGAAAGGGCATACAGTTTCTCAGTAGCACTTGTTAAAGCAAGTTTGTTATTTAACAGCTTTGTTGGTAAACTCAGAAAGATGTAGATGCCAAATCCTTCTTCGTCTGCATATGTACCAATTCTCAAATTAACATGCACTAGTCCTAATATGCAATCATTGTACTACATCTTTTAGAATCGCTCACTATGCCAATTGATACTGGCAGAAGCACCACTAACATCTAGTTATGAGAAAGGAAAACACCAATATGAATGTATGTAACAGATCAACAGCAAGGCAATGCATGGTTTACCAGTTCCCTGTCTTTACCCTACAAAGATGACTGATCTCTTCTGCTACACAGAAAGAATACCTCTGACCTCAGCTACTTATTTTTATAGGCTTATGGTACACACATTTGTATCCATTTCAAGATGGGGGTTCTACCATGGTTCAGGGCTGAAAGCTCAGTTGAACATTTCTACTTCAAGACAGACAACAATCAGGTTTTTCCATTCTCTCTCCATCACCTCAGCTAGAAGCACTTTAGCATATTTAAACTGATTCCCTCCCTGTTTAACCCTGCCATAAAAGTGTTGGAAACAAGTTGTTCCAGACACTATTACAAAATCCTTTTACTAGGTCACATGAAGAACTATGCTAACTAGAAGAAGTTTGAAGATTTTTATGATCTGGTGTTACAGCTGGAGTTGAGCAAGAATTTTTAATTTAGTTTAAAGAGTCATCTACTGAAACAGAACAGGAAGCATTTAAATCTCTGCTGCACTAGCATGTTGTTGGAATTGGCTAGATCTCCAAGACGGGGTGTGCAACAGCATCATCAGTGCCAACAGCAGCACTAATGCATTAATAAGTACTTATCTCTGATACACAAGTATGTAAACTGATCAGAGTCTGTACAGAATACCAAGCTGTGGTATCAATTAAGTGTGTGGAAGGTGTAACTCCAAAAGCATATGAAGGTGAACTGCATACACACATGCCCCTAGGAACTTTTCAGGGATCTTCATTCACACTTTTAAGGAGAGTCTCATGAACAACTATCCCCCAGAAGCCCAGCTGGACCTGTAAGCACTGTTAGTTCAACTATGTGCAGACAAAACCTAATGCTTACTGTTGTCAGCTGCACTGACCCATAACAGAGGTCAGTCATTTTCTTCAATGTTGTTCTATTAAAAAGCCGTATTAGGTTTACAGCTTGGGCACAGCCAGCATTTAAACAATAGCTCTCATTGTTACAGCACCCTGTACGCTGTTGACTCATTCCTCCGTATTTCACTACTAAAATACTACAGTGCAATCCCTGTAAAAACATTAAAGATCCAGAAGAGCCCATGATCAGAGCTGAGCTGCAGATCTGCAATTATTTTCTACTGGGACTGAACCTTGAAAGCCACAATAGAATATTACCTTAATTTGGTACTAAAACATAACTGAATCTTCCTTATGCTATGAAGCTCAGTAATTAATACATCCACAACTACAGCAAGTCTCCTTAAAAAGCAAATTAGAAGTATTTGCCATTTTCATTGAAGATAAGAACATGTAATTTAGACTCACCAGTGTTTTCCCACACAGGAAGTTAATGTTGCTTTGAATTTGGTGCTGACTGCCTTGCTGCAAGCAGTTACGTGTAGTGTTGAGTTCCAGAAGACTTTTAGAAACTTTTTGCAAGCCTATGTCACCTAGGGTTTAAAAAAAAGAAAAAAAACCCACACAAAAAAAAACAATGGTTATCATACCAACATCTATGATAATACAGCACCTTCACAGACAGGCTCTAATTTCAAAGACTGAGTAGCCCAAGACATACTAGTCCACCTGAAGGCACTCTTTGAACAGAGTATGACTGAAGACCTTCTTTGCAGTTCTTGCCATTTGGAAGACTAGGTCCAAGTTAAGATAGTGCTTGATATCCCTAATCACACTTCTACTTTCTCAAAGGTTTTTAGCAAACACTTTGAATGTTAAGAAGCCAAATAGCAGGTGCCACTACAAACAAGTCACTGCCTTAGGAACATGGGACTCCATCAGAAAACTGCTACCAACTAGTTTCAGGTACCACAATTCACCCCTTCCTCCCACCAGCTTCTGTTTTTCAGTTTTTTAGCCTTTAAGTCGTTTATACACATACTGTCAGTACAATATGAGAGAGAGAGTACCATAGAATAGTTTGGGGTGGAAGGGACCTTTAAAGGCCATCTAGTCCAAGCCCCCTGCAGTGAGCAGGGACAGCTTCCACTAGACCACGTTGCTCAGAGCCCAGACCAACCTGATCTGACATGTTTCCAGGGATGGGGCATCTACCACCTCCCTGGGCAACCTGTGCCAGGGTTTCACCACCCTCACTGTGAAAAATTTCCTCCTTATATCTAGTCTAAATCTGCCCTCTTTTAGTTTAAAACCATTACCCCTTGTCCTATCGCTACAGGCCCTGCTAAAACCTCTGTCACCACGTTTCTTATAAGCCCCCTTTAAGTACTGATAGGCTGCAAGAAGGTCTCCCCAGAGCCTTCTCTTCTGCAGGCTGAACAACCCCAACAACTGGTTATAAATGTACACAGTTTTAAGACCCAACTTAGCAGAGAACTTATGGCAGCACCATCCGAGGGCTTACCTCAATAGTCTGTAAGCATTAGTTTTCTCTCAGCTCTGAGAACACACTATATTGCTCTAAAGGCCATGTGAGCCACCTCCTAATTTCCTCAGTTAAAGTGATATTCAAGAAAAATCAAGTTAAGCCAGTACATCTTGTTTACTACCGGCCAGTATGTGTGCTCTCCTCCCCCTGCATGCTTAAAACTAGTTTGGGAACTTGCTAAAAGTTTTAGCAGGAATCTCTTCAGTGGTACATGACTCCTCCCATCCCTGCTCACAGAGCAAGCAGTCTCATGAACCATCCCATCACACCACCAGCTTCCTGTGAGCTTCCTTCCAGAGGACCAGTTCTGCAACCATCTTTTCCATAACATCAAGTTCTCTCTTCAATAATCACTTAGATTTCTTCATGACTTTAGAGATGCATTCCTTCCACAAAGTAACACACTAAAATCACCTAGTACAGCTCAGAAAAATTAGCACCAGATACTTCACATTACACAGTTTGCTAGTCACTATCAAAGGCATTGTCCACAACACCTTTTACTCATTGACTCCTTCAGCTGTTTGGAAGGAGAAAGGCAATCATGGAAGACATCCAATCAGCTGTCCAGAAGAAGGGGGCATTTAGGTGGCAGCTATCATTTCATGACAAGTCCTTCTACTGCAGCTGGACAAAGTGCACATTTCACCACTCGGGTCAACAAACAGTTACGGTAATAGTTCCACTTTTAATTTTAGTAATAGTTCAGCTAAGTGGCACACAAGTCACTAGGTGTCACACTAAGTTAGCTACCATGTCATTTCCCTCCTCACTGACATTCAAGAACTAAGCATTCACCTACACCTTGAAAACTTCTAAGGTCAATCAATGAAGCTGAAGAGCTTTTTTTTTTTTTTTTTTTAACAAGAGGCCTTTGGAGTCTCAACACAAACACCAGTACATCACACTGAGACACGGTTAATGTTAGCCACAAAGCTTCCCTTGGATACAGACTGATCACAGTCACAGAGCATATGGCCTACCCCCATCAAAGCTGGAATCAACAACAGAACCAGTTCTATAGCTGTTACCTCTTGCGTAGCCAATATTTAAAAGCAAAACTATTGTTTTCAGTGAAAGAATGAAGAAGAAATCTGATTTTGTCCATATTTGAAGAAATCTTACAACTTAGCAAAGTCTGGCACCTTTGGCAACTGGGAACTTGCCCTTTTTCCCCCAAATCAAAGCTCTTCAGCTGCACTCAGCTTTGGCATACAAGTATACGTATCCTCTCATATCAGCCAGATTGCTTGAAGACAGGCATGCCGCTTAGCTTCCACATAACTGGAATCTACACTGGGATTATACATCTGCCTAGACATGGATTAAGGAGATTCCTCTTTTCTCATCAGGAGTGATTATCCCTTTTGTTTTTTGGACGAACAAGAGGCTTATTAATCCATTAGTATGTTCTCAACTAGGTGTGATGGTGCTGAAGCTCCAATACAACTAGAGGCAGTATGAAGTATGGCAGGCATCACTAACAAGCCTCTGACTTACCATAAACAAGAACAAAACTTTGACAATTTGAACAATAAAACAATGCAAATTCAATGTCAATGTTAAACTGCCCTACCTCGATTTCTTAATTTATTGCCTGGTGGTTAAAGATATATCCTACTTGAACAGGATTTGTGGCTTAACCTCGAGGGTCAGTTCAAACAGACTCTGCAAGACAAAGTTCTGTTTGCTGCCAAATCCTCTCCCACCCAGTATCAGTCAGGCAATGAGACATTCAAGGTTTGCACACAGAGGAATATTTGATACTGCTCATGGTCATCACCCAGCTCTGTTCTCCCTTCCTCTTTCCACAAGAAGCATGGAGTAAAACTTACACAAGCTCTAGGTCTCACACTTGCCTGGGAAGAACACAGGAGAGAACCTGCCACACTCCAGTCTCACTCAAAAAAGCACGTTAAAACAGATGTCCATATGCCACTTCCTTTTGTAATCCACAGGCAGCTAAAGTCTCAACGGCATGCAAGTTAAGACCCACATCAGCAGGAAACAAAATTCTTGCTGTGCATTTTAGGAATGAAACACATTAACAGCATCAAGTGGTCTACTGTGATGTCGCACCCCTCAGAGTAGAAGATGCTACTACATGCAACTGCAGTTTGAACTCAGATGCATCTAACAAGTCATCCCAGGAAACTCCGGAGCTTGGATAAAAAAAACTACATAGAAAAACCATGCAGCCATGAACTGAGATACACTTTTACTCATGCACCCAATGGTTTTATAAGCCTGGGTCACCACACTAGTAGTTTGTTTCAAAAGCACTGATTGAGCACAGCCTGAAACCAAAGTACCTCTACAGTTAACAGAGAGGAGTGGGGACAATGGATGCTAATTAGCTGCTGTGCATCTGTATACAGGCAAGAATCATCTTCCTCCTCATCTCCTTCCAGCATTTCAAGCTCAAACACTTCTGCTGAAGAATCATAGCTTCTGATAAGAGCTGTCTGCCAACAGAAAGCAAGATTGGCAAGCATGTTTAGATTCAGATTTCAGATCTGTAGGACTAAGTGGCACTCTGAAAAGATCTTACTCTTCAGAAAGGTATTGCTTTACTCTATTAGAAGTGACAGTCAGCTATCAGAAAACTTTTTCATTAGTATTAATATATTATTGTTTCATTAGCTGAAGCACAGAAGCAACCTTGCAAGCAACAAGCATCCAGGAAAATAAGCACACACTGTTCAGAGCACAAGCTTCTTGTGATTGATGAAAGCATGTGCAAGTATGTGTATAGGAATATGCCGGTTTCATATTTAGATCAGCATGCAAAAGTGCACTACTCCTCAGAATACCAAGGACATCAGTGAACTACTGAAGCATCCACCAGATTTGACAAGTGTAACTGAAAACAGAGCACTGTACGTAACTGACTTCCTTTCCATGTGTAACAGCTTAAAGATGAGAGCCCAGAAGCTTAGCAATACTCCAAGATTGCATTACAGAGTAACCTGACTCTGAACAAAGAGCTGGTGTAACACTGTGGTAGAGTTTAGAGCTATAACTCAAGCTTTATCCTGTGTTCAGTATCAAGCTTCAAGTAAGGCTGTGCGCAGTGCATATTCTGCCACAGGTAGATACATTTATTTCTACTTGAGACAGCCTTGCACAGTTTCACACTAGAGTGCAGTTAACTAGACCATAAGTTTTGCTGTCCTGTGAAGTGTTTGTCTGCAATCAGATCACATTTTCCCAAGTCTCCTCAGTAAATCTTCGCTAACATGTCAAAGTTTGCAATAGTTGTAAGACCATCCATTAACATGACTCTAGACTACTTAAGAGGAAGGACACTTGTTTACTTACCGACAGACAGATAGGTCTTCTTATTGATGTCATATGCACAGACTGCACTTGATCTTCCACACTCTTCAACACCAAAACATAAGTTTATTTTATAAAGCACATGTTTGTCTGCATCAATTGCTTCCCATGTGTAACTGAAAAGAAAAAAGCCCTGTCAGTTGGTATTCATATTGTCTGCACTGCCATCCTCTAGACACCAGGTGCTGAAATAACCAAGTTATAAAGCTAAGAGCACCACTAACCCGAGTTTCATATTCATGTTCTATATCTGTAAGTACCAGAAATAATTGTTACTGTGTCAGGGCCAAGAACAAAACAGATTTAACCACTTGAGGAAGGTATATCAGGTCCATTTTCTGGTTTCTCGAACACCCAACCGCCCATTCTTCCCCCTCAAATCTCTCTAAAGGCCACTCTGTCTAGGTATATCACAGCTGATGAACTTTTTTTCCTTGAGAACCTGATAAACTTCTCAAACTTCTTTGGCAGACTGCACACTACTGCATTTTATCAATACCCAGTAACAGTGGCAGAAGTGCTAAGCCCAAGTGAAATAGAAGAGCCAGCCACATCCTGCCTGCCAGCAGCCAGAGCCACCTACCTCCAGGGTCAAAATTGGAGTTGAGATTCTTGCAGCATTCAGATTGAAAGATGATAATAATAATGTTTATTAGTGCCCAGCTGCACCTTTATGCATTTTATATATAGATCCATCTCAATATCAAAAGGACAGTTTCTGAAGGGTAATATCAGAAGCTGGAAAGCAAACTGAGCAATCCATGAGAGACTCAGTGAAAGACCACACTGGCTAGCTACAACCGTATCAGAAAGTCAGCTGTCTAAAAAATGATAAAGGAACATGAAGCTCTGGTTAAATACAATGGGGAACAAATCAGAGTAACAGAAGAAAAAAAAAATAAATGCAGTGCTGTTCAGAGGCAGAGCAAGGATTTGTTTCCCTCACAGCAAGCGCTAAGACCGCAGTGAGATGTCTTCAGTCGTACGACGCAGCACCACCCACTTTTGAGGCAGACCCAGGTCAGCTAGTTTGGAGACGGGAGCTCTTTAGACACAGCCTGGCTTACTAGCACAGTGCAGTGGCCAAGCTCCGTTAAAAAGGCACAGCTCAGTAAACATTTGCCGTCAGCTTGGCTCAGCTACACCTCTTCTGGCGCTGGCAGCAGCCTGCATCTTCTGGACGGTACTGATTTCTGCAACATAAGAGACTGCTCAGCTTCCCTTCTATCCCAAGTGGAAACTTCAGTAGGATTTAATACAGAGTCATCCCATCAGAAAAATGAGGACAGCACAGTGACTTACTAGGTATTCCCCTTATGTACAACTCACACATGGTTTAGTGCATCTATCTGACTATAGAAGCATTTGTCTTAATCTACAGATGAGTATCAAACCCAGCAAGGGAGCTCAACTGCCCCCTCTCAGCTATCAAGAAACTGGAAGTTGACCAGAAGCTTCACCCATAAGGATGGTCTGCCTTAATCGCTAGCTCATAGGTGTTGCACCACTTGACATCATCACACCCCAGATGCCCCCAGGAGGAAAGCTCATTCTTGTTCCACTCTGAAACACAGTCCCTGGGTGAGGAAGGGGCTACAGTAGTTCAGCTACTTTACTTAGACTTTGAATCCTCCGAGAACTCCTCTCAAATACAGTTCATCCCATCTCTAATCATAGAGCCAGCAGTAAGATACCACATACTTTTCCACTTCATTACTGACTACAGGGTTCTTGGCTTCCCTGTACTACAGCAGCCGTATTAATTTCAGTCTGCTAACGATTGGGACAAGTTAGGGACAACTACAAGACAGTTCTCTCTGCGAACTGAAAAAAATTAAAATCTTTATATTCTAATTATATTGGTATATAAAGGTATATTCTAATTATATTGGTATATAAAGGCTCAAATATAACAATAAAAAGCTCAAAAAAATAACCTACCAGGTACTGAGTCATACTTAAAACACCAACAAAATTACTTTTTGAATCAGAATCAAGGACTGTGTCTCAATCCTAGACAAATACTTGTCGTTATTCTTTCCTCATAAGGAGGCAGAGGTGCCATTTTACAATCGTACTGATTAGTTCTCTGAATTAGTTCCTTGCATTTCTGAAGTGGATAAAGGCAAACCCAATGCAGGACAATGATGAGAATTAAGCTACAGTACAGAATAACCAAAGTTCATCAGTGGAAGAAAGCTTGACAACATACACAAAAAAGAAGAACCTGACTCTACCTTAAAAGGCTCTGAAAACAGCAAGAGTTTAAGACTAAAGCAGGTTTTACATCCAAGAGAAAACGCACTTCAATCAAAATACAATTTTGTCACAATGAAGACCCAGAAAGTTAGCATTTCACTGAAAAATTCCCAAGGGCTTCAGTACTCTTTTTTTTGACTGGTTTTTGAAGATGATAAAAAAATAACATATACTATTAAGGCATGAAGTTTTTGATCAAGCAAGAGTGTGCTTCAGTGTGGTTTTTTTTGAGAACTTGCAAGTTAAAATCTGTTTGTGAACTGAACACAAATTTAAGTCCCTCACACAACAGAATTATCACTCTATGAGAGATTAAGGGTTTCACTTTTCCAGTTGCATGTTATGAAACAGAGGAGATCAACATCTTCAAGTCAGTTCACCCACATGCCAGAAGCAAACAAGAAACAAGATGAGCAGCTTACAAAACAGAAGCAAAGCAGTCACTGAAGCCAGCCTTTCCCTCTGCCCTTTCACAGGCCCCTGGACAGGGAAGGCTGACGAGTCCTTCAAAACAGTCCACAGAAAGGAAACAAGAAGTCCCACGTTTAATCGTGTTCCAAACCACACTTTTCAGCAGCACACAAAAATTAAAATCTAATGCAGTTTCAGAGTAGTATGACTTTCAAGAAAGTTCAAGGGACTTTTTCTTCCTTTTTTTTTTTTTTCCTTTTTCCCCTTTAAATGTGTGGGAGGAGCAGGGCAGGATTTATTCATTGGGAGTAACAATAGGCTGGATGTAGCCCAAGCAGCTGCTCTCATCAGGGAGATGCAAAATACACTTTCACAGTAAAAGCAAGAATTATTTCTCTCACAAGCAAGACTCCTAGCATTAAATCAGTGTCCAGGAATAGCTTCAAGTTGCATGTGCTCTACTTTCCGATAAGATACAAGCTGATCTCTCCGCCACGTCCCATAACGGAAACAATCTGCTGGCAACCACATCACCCATCCTGACTACGGCTGCGCCACGCGGACCGGCTTCCTCCAGCTGCTCGGCACTCACCTCCACCAACGGTGATGCCTCACGTAACTACCTCCTCAGCCGGGCCCAGCCGAAGTTATCTTGTTTGAAGGGCTTAAGCTATCCCAGATTCAGTTGAGCTAGTTTCGGGAGCCGTTATACCAACAGCTTTAAAAAGCGACAGCCTTGGCCATGGGGTGGGGTGCGATGCACCCTCTCCCCTGGGGGCTCGGTACAGCTGCTGCTGCGCAGGTGACGCCATTCAAGCAGCCATTGCTGGTGCGGTCCAAAATCCAGGCTCAAACGTGGCATCTGCCTTGATTAAAACTGCCAAACAGTTACTTGTGCTGGAATCCCAACACGACGCCTGTTTCCAGATAAACCCAGCCATGGACTATCCCACGGTTCGAGGCCTGAAACATACACCCACACCAACCCCCAGGGCAGACTCCCCTCCTCCCCTGCGCGGTGCCGGCCCCAGCGCCCCACACAAGCTGGGCCCAGGGACCGCCCTCTCTCCAAATGAACTCGGCAGAAACAACAGGTGCGTGCACATGTGTGCGGAGCGGGGGCTGAGCCCGGCCCGCTCCCCGCCTGGCTCGCAGCGCTTGCTGGCTGCGCACCAGTGGCAGGAGGGAGGCAGGGAGGGAGGCGGGGAGGGAGGGCCAACCCAGGCCACTGTTGAAAGCAGTTGTGCAAGCAAGGTCCAAACAAGTCACTGGCAATAACCTTGCCTGCAGGTCAGCCTTTCCAGCTACCCAGCTTTGTTTTTAAGACACTGAAGCACCACCACGAAACAGAAAATTAAGCCACTTTTCAGCGAGTTGCAAGAACAAAAAGAGCGCTCCGCATTTTTTTGACAAAGCAAAGCAGCAACTCAGGGAAAAAATAACATGAGAAGGTGTCCCGGTTTCAGCTAACCCACGACAGAAAGGGAAAAGGGTCAAGTCTAGTTTACCTTGCAGATCAGTAGCTCCAGCATGGAAGTCAGACAAGGTGCAACGGCCAACGGCCGCCACAGCACGTGCGTCCCCAGAGCCACTTTGAGGTCTGAGCCCCAGTGAACCACTTCAAACACAACAGAGCAGCGGAAAGACTACTGCTGCCATTCTCATGTGTTCAAGTGTTTTGGTTCTCAAACTCTTACCCACGGGATGACTGCGAGGAAGAAGAGTACACCCTGCTCCTAACAGCTGTAAAGCGTAGTTACAAAGACACAGGCGTTCGCTCTCTGGGGAAGGCGCTGAAGTGGCTCGTTTTGCCAGAGGGGTGTTACACAGACGACCCAGCACAGAGACAAGGCAACCGGCGACTGCGGAGCTGGAAGGCAGATCTGTATGTGATTATGCATCCACATATATTTTGTGCCCAGCAGCTCCTCAGCTATCGGAACACTGCAGAGGTTAAATTAGTATCTGAAGCTCTTTATGAGCAGGTTCAACCAGCACGATCACAAGTAAACAAGCTCAGGGGCAATTTCCAGGATGACTCCTTCAAATTTGAAGCTATCAGCTCAGATCCGCTACTTGCCACAGAAATCACTATTAGATGCGGCTAACAGTTTAGCACAAATACATATGGTAAAGAAACCTCTATGTCAAAGCAAATTCACCTTACAGAAAATGAGAGCTTGAATGGCACAAGGTACAGAGCTATAGCTATGCTTCAAGTGCTTTTTAACACACCCCTACTCATGCTTATTTCTGCCCTGGCTTACCTGTCACCTTTTCCAAGCATCACACACACTGCATGTCTTCAGGCGAGTTTTCTTGCATATGCAACATGCGTAATAGCCTTATAGTTACACCACAAGCTGTTCAGCTTTCTCCATCCAAAAGACATACGGTGTCCCATGCTACACTCTACACCACATCTACTACATTTTGCTACTACATA